AAATGTGATGATTAGTAGTTGAGATATCAGTGGAAAGGCCGAAAATTTACTAATCATTATGCAAATTAGTTAATTAATATGCACGGATTTTCACCCAAAACTAATCAAAACCTGACATTAGTTCAGAGCATCTATGAATCAATTTTCATCAAAATCCAATGAGTGGTTCTTTAGATATCAGTGGAACAGTAATGGAACAGCTAAAAATTAGCTAAGTATCATGCAAATTAGGGAATTAATATGCACAGATTTTTACTAAAAGCTAATCAAATCTGCGCATAAGTTCAGAGCATCTATGTACCAAGTTTCATCAAAATTCAATGAGTGCTTCTTTAGATACCCGTGGAACAGTCATGGAACAGCTAAAAATGAGCTAATTATCATGCAAATTAGGTAATTAATATGCATGGATTTCTAAAACCTGATCACATCTGTGCTTTGGCCCAGAGCATCTATGCACCAAGTTTTATCAAAAACCGATGTATGGTTCTTGAGATATCAGTATAACAGACGAACACACACACACACACACACACACATTCAGACAGGGCATGGAGCTAAAAAAAGGAGACTGAACTGGTTTTAATCCTACTTGTATCTTTTATTTTAAGCTGATTATTCTTTTGTGTTTACGTGCCTTTCATGTCGATGACTTCTGCCGGCTGCCGTCACACTGATTATTCAACGGTCATCGCCTTCCTGAGGTGTAACGATCATTTTTGTCCTGCGCAGTTGACGTCAAAGGTCGGCGAACATGCGCGTAGCGGTAATTACGGAAGAGTTTTGTCAGTTCTAGGTCTCATGCCACTAATTAACCAATGGCTGCTCGTAGCCCTCAATTTAAATGCCTAGCAAGAACCAATGACATTTTTTAAATATTTTTTTTCTCAGGTGCTCCCTGTTTGAGGGCATAATCACCTGGGTCAGAGGTGAGACCAACATGTGGTCTTTTGTTTACTACTTAGCGGCTGTGTACCTGTGGGTTTATTCTGTTTGTATTTGGATGTTCTAATCTTGGTGTTTTTCCAGTGATTTCTCTTGGTGCAATCCAAATACAGTAGGTGTGTCTTGTTTACCTGAGATTTGCAAGGATTTGAGCTGGCCAACATGTTAGTTTTTTTCATATGGTTGATTACTGGCATGTTGATTTCCCATTTTTGAGCCATATTTTCAACTTTCTTCGTCATTTTCATTTAGCAATCTCGTCATATGTTAACATTGTCATCTATGGAAATTCAATTAGTGGTATGAGCCC